GTAAAGTTTAATTGGCCTGTTTAAGAGTATTATATTCTTCAAAACTACGTGATACGAATTTACTTAATACGCACAACTCAAATCATTACAAAAGTCCACTAAATTAATTGCACTATGAAATTTTGCATTCTTTTATAGGATAATCAAAATATCACTGTCTGTAAAATCTTACACAACAAATTTTAATGTATTGCAGATGAAAATAAACAATATGTAACTTTTTATTAAAATTATAGAAAAACTGTTCAATTATATACTTAATCTGCAATGCGTATCAATACATGCTATAACTACACAGTACTGAATGTTTCATGTGTACAAAATATATCAGATATTTTAAATGAACAAATGCTTCATTTTCTATCTGATATATTTCTCTGTGACTATCACAAGATACAATATCAATATCTAGCATTCATATTGGGTGAAACTGAAATTGTAAGAATGGGAAAAACCTAAGTTTCAGTTTTGGGGAGTTAGGGGCTGGCCGAGCTCCCCTAGGTGGACTCAATGTTAGAGCTGCATGTATAGTGTGAAGTGGTAATCTCCATCTTGGTATTGCATAGTTTGAATGCACTCCCACAGGCGTGCATGGTCCTGGAGCGCAAAGGGGATTCTTTTCCACTTGAAGAGCGCTGACAACCAAAGCTGCTCTGTTATGGTATCTGAAAGACATCAGCTACCACCTTAGCACTACTTCGGCACAGTAGTCTTAAAACTTATTGACAAAAAAAAATAATACATAACTGTATAAAGATATAACTGAATACACAATAAAGCTGTTTTGTGTGATTTATTAACACTTTCATGACAGGTAATAGCCAAGCAAAATATTTAGCTGAATATGGCGTATGACTATTTGTAGATATATGAATATAAGAAATATTACATCTCACAGTATGATATTTATAGTCATTTGTGATTCAAAGTTTTAAAAATTTAAATATTAAAAATGTATATAGAAAAAATATGTTTCTTAATAAGATGTATTCAGCTAAAAAATTTGAAATGATGTAAAACTACATTTCCCATTGTAAAAGTGTTAATATGATATGATCCTCGCTTAAAAGTATAGGAATTATGATGATTAAGTTTTAGAAAAGATTAACTACATATTTTATAATAACAATAACTCTTAACTTTTGAAACTTACTTTTTTAAGAGAAGTCGAATGTGGGTGTCAGAAACTGTTGGGAACATAGCATTAATTTTAGCGACCTGTAGCTCAGTATCTGAATTTTGCATTAGACTTGTCTCCATATTTTTTATAGGTGTTGGTGATCCTAACGTCATATCTCCAAGTCTGTTTGTGATTGCATTAACCGATTTCAACGATAACGGAGTTTTTAGCTCCTATATAAATTACATATTGTAATTACTACCAGTTTCTTTGACAATTAAATATTTAAAATCATAAGATATATTTTTAATCAGTAATACGAAACTATGTAATAAGCATTTTATTCTACCATATAATCATGTATCAAATCAAATAATACATTTCAAATCAGTCACCTACCTGTAGACTGGGAGGTAAAAATGCAAGTTGTGGATTAAGATAGGGAGACGGTGTTGGATAGATTTGAGGAGCTCTGTGAGTTCCTGCATAACCTATATGTACACCACCTCCATTTCCTCCAGTCTATTATATTATATCATATTTTATATTTTATCCAAATGCAGCATGTGCATATAATAAAAACACATATATTGGGAGTGCAATTGTAAAAAATTTTAAATATGTGCATGTGTGCAATTTGAACATTTCTAAATATTGTTTATACATGAAAGTGATTGTGTACATTTAAAGATAATTTCGTACAATAATTTAATACACAGCAGGAATTTTCTACTGACCTGCATAGGTATATCTTGGGAAGTTATAGTTGTAGCAGAACTCAGTGCCATTGTATTTTGTGATTGTATATACTGAGAATACTGCCAATACCTTACTCTTGGATCTTCCCATGTTGTTGTTCGATTAAAATGATTTATAAAATATCTGAAAAACGTTCCGTCGAATTGATATAGAAAGCAATTGACAAATATTAAAATACTTTAATTTTATTTTACATATCAAACTTTATATTATTTTTAGGTATAAAATTTTCTATAATGATTATTATATAATTATCATTTAAAACACATGAATAAATGCTTTGAATAATTTGTAGTTTTATTCAACAATATAATGAATTGTTAAATATTACTAAACGACGAGATAAAATAAGTCATCATTGCATAACACGAGTCAATATAGTAAAAATATTTTTATTACTAGTATTCTTTTACTGTCAGATTAATTAATGAAATAAAAGTAATTTTACAAAAATTTACATACGGACGTCCACTTCTGATATCGTATCTACATTCCCAACCGGGTGGCAATTGACTCCTGTCAGTTTCTTCAGCCATCTTTGCGTATTTTGATAAGTCACAATATAATCCACCAACACCAATGTAGCGTATTTGGTGACTATAATCAAATTTAATTACGTTCATTTTATACTTTATAATACTGATACTCCTTAATAACAAATCGTTTCACTAATTTTTTAATTTCGTGCGATGGCCATTAATATTTAAAACATATAAAAACTTTGTTTCCTATTTTAATATTATTTAATAAATAGGAAGTAATCTAGTTTTAATTTGAAACAAAATATATTTCATATAAGACATTAATATAACTGAAAAATCAAAGTAAAGGTTTCATGTAACTTAATCAGATTAAAAACTCATTCTATATTTTTGTAATAAATATATTTAAAAATAACTATAGCATTTAAGTTACTTTGCAATACAAGGTACTTAATGACACTTTAATTGTTACACAATACAAGTGTAAACTTACTATTTTGTCTTGTACTTTATTTTAGGGAAAATAAATTATGACGAGCAAAGTAATATTTTAATAAAATATACATTTCAAAAAACAAAAATATTTTGACACACATTTAAATAATAATAATATTTGTTGCATTTCTCCATCACGTAATTTGACAGAGACTTTGAAATTTTTCAAGCCTAGTTAATATGCATAAATATGCATATTTTTTTCTAATAATATATAATTGTAATCTACCTCCAGCCATCCTATATAAGGCCAGAGGAACATTTATTTATATATTTCTATTTTTTGTTTTTATTTTCCATATATGTTTTATATCCTGTATACATTTGTCCTAACATTCCCAGAGCTAAACATGCTAGTACAGTGCCCTGAGCCGCTACTCTAAGTTGTATAAGAAATAATGAAGGTGGTATTGTTCTTGTTTTCCATTTATAAGCACCTATTCCACCAACAACAACAAATCCAACTAATCCTAAAACAAGAACAATTATAATATATCAGACATATACTTTGTATACATAAGAATTCAATTATTACATTATTATTTACATAAAAATTGTACAAATAAAAATGTCTATTATCGTACCTATTTAATAAATTCATTACCTGCTACAAGAAAAGGTTTGTTTACTGCAGTTGAATATATTTTCTCTTGTATAGTTGTTTCTGGATTATTTTCTAATGTTTGCCGGAGGGCCTCCTCTGGGATCTCCATTGATTTTGCGGTCAACCATTGTGATGTATTATCCATTGTTTATCTATAAAGTAAAAATAAAATATCTGATTGCAAGATTTAAACAATAAAAACACATAGAAACCTTATTATAATTTACATAATCAAATGTATATGTACACTTCTGTTATAAAATATAACATGTTCAAATTTATAAAAACTTTATATTTTTAGTTTTATTTTAACAAACTAAAAACTTCATGTTTCATTAATAATCTCATAATTCTACACGATTTTATATAAATTTAGAAATGACAGTGGAGAAACAATTATGGTTATGAATATCATGTAAAGTATTGTTTCAATGAAGAAAAATTATTTTAATTCTACTCAATTGTTTATTAAGCATTACAAAACTTTTGCATAATATTTTTATACTTTTTGTATAATATTAAAAATTTCATTTTAAACTAACTGTTTTACAAAAAATACAAAACATAATAAAGTAATAATAAATTGGGGATTAATTTTGCACATGTTTATTACATCACAGATATTTTATTATCTTCATTTATTAATATGTACTTTATAATAATTTATATTCACGGATTATACACATATATGTGTTTCTAATATCTATATTTTAGTCCTATTCGTTGTCTATTCTATTGATTTTAAAATAGTACGCGCGTGCATCGGTCAAGGTTACGATAATGATATTCGGAAGTATTTAACCTTAATGAAAAATATTTTGAATTACACAGGTGTAAAACTAATATTTAAAAGCATTACTCAGCGTTGTACCATCATAATACTTCATTTTTTAAACAATTTTTTGCATACTTTCCTATGTAAAATTTTAATTTCTATATGAGTTACAAGTCAAAATTATAAATTACGCTGATCACTGTTTGAGTTATTGATAAAAATGAACAACATACATTCCATATGATATTATGATAAATTGGGACTTTGAGGTAAATATGGATAAATGATAAAACTTTACCTTTAGTTTTTAAACAATGTTCAAATGTCACTAATTTTAATATTAATAATACTGAAATAACGACATGTGCTCTGCACAATACTTTTGTGCAAAATTCTATGACATTGTCATGACGCAATTGCTGTTTAAACTGAATAGAATAGTACAGTGCTGCTCTCAACGGTCTCTTGAGTTATAAATGACAGAAACTCCTCCTCTGCATTTTTATATATTGTATGTTTGTATTTCTTGTATATATTACTTGATAAATTATTCTAGTCTAAATTTGAATTATTAGAAGACACGGGTCAATGGACCGACAAACTTTTGAATTAAACTACATAAATGTAGGGAATATGGGGTGTACATCACTCATTTAATAACATTTTTTGATACAAAGATTATTTGGTAACAGGTGGGAGAAAATTTCAAGGATAATTTTGAACGACAATAAAAAATTAAAATAAAAAAAATACATTCATTCTAATAATTTAGCAATATAGTTCCCGTGAGATAAGTCAATACGAACATAGGGATGTATTATATGAATTTGTCGTTATTGGTAGATTTTAATCGTTAATAACTTGAAGACGAAAGTGAAGTCGTAATTTTTACAATTTTTAATTGCTGCTTAAAGCGATGCTGAAATTTAACTAACAGAATCTCATGTTATAGATTGTTCAAATGCCATGAAATAAATAAATACCTTATAAAGTTGGGTAGTTGGCATGTAAAATGAATATGAATTTGATTGGTTATTGAATACGTGTATTTTATTGGCTATAATTATAAGTGAGTTAAATCATGTGATGGATGGAATTTGAGCAAGAGATTGAGTACCATTTTTACCCTTTCACTATGTATATTTATCTAAGTTTATACTCCTGTACTGTGGTGCAATCAACTTTTCAATAATATAGTCAACAATATAATCAACAGTATAGACAACATACTACACTTCAAACATTTAGTTTCGACATAGTAGTGATTATTTCCAATTGGTCTACTTTGTATGACCGCCTGCTTTTACTCACACTGTTATTGGTTGTTGAAAGATGTAATGATCATGCGTTTGACTTTTTCGTACATGTACTTGTACAAATTTTAGTGACATGTATTATGTCAATGTGACAGAACTGTCAAAGAGCTTTTTGTTTAAACAAAATTTAACATAAGCCAAAATTAGAATACACCTACTTAAATTTATGGTCGAAAGTGGAACATGAAAACATGTGTCAAAAGTTTGGGTATATTAATCTGTCAAGATTAAACATCTCTACTATATCATAAAGGTATTTTGGTTATATAGCTTTTTAACAGTTTATATAAAAATGATCAATTTTGTTTTCTTTTTTATAGATGTATTTAAGTTAGTAAGCAATCAATGAAAAGGATAAAATATTGCCAATTAAATTGTGCATAGAAAATAGAACTATATTTAAAATTATGGCAGCAATACGACATACGTTACAAAGGGAAGTGTTTACTCCTGCTGATGAAAAATTGTTAAGCGTGTGTTATGTCAGTAAGGCATATAAAAAAAAGAAAATGAGCTTTCTCTGTTTAACCACAACGACAGATACACCGCCGTCTTTGCTTTTATATCAAGTAAAGAAGAATGATAAAAACATATTCAAAAAGAAACAGTCATGGTCGTTAGGTGATATTCAAATTGTGGATGGAGTTAAAAATGACTCGATGGATATAGAATTACATATAGACAAAGTATATAAATGGTCTGTAACAACGGCTCAAGAACGAAGAACATTTTTGAGCAATTTGTATACTTATTCTTGTAGCATAGCTCAAAGACCACAATTTAAAAATATTCCTAAAGAATGGCTTATAGATCCTAGTTCTTTGAAAGAAAGTGATAGTATTACTTTCACCCCAGGTAAATATTATAGTTTCTGAAGATATCATATACAATTATTTTTATTATTTCATTTCAATTGTATTAAGAAAATATACGTTTTAAATCATATTTGTTTGATACTTAGTATTAATATATTTAGTATATAATAATATTTTTATATAATAATATATAATTAATATTTTGATATTTTTAGAACTTCTTACATCTCCTATTTCATCAGATTATCAACCTATTACTGAAAAAGAAGCTGTTGATTTAAAACAGATGATGGAGAATTGTGAACATGCAGTTGCTAATGCAGAACTTTTTATGGAAACACTTTCTAAAGATCTCTCTATTCTCGATGGGGTAAACTTATATTTTTTTATTCAAACAAGATAAAATGAAACTTGGTATTGTAATTTACTAATATATATAAGAATAATTATAATTGACAAAATTTATCTAAATTTTTTAATATTAACGAATTTAGGAAAATGTGCAATCAGTTTTGGCATCGGAAGCTCGAGTAACTCAATTGATGAATAGTATTGAAGCAGCAATAACTGAGGCTTCTATTGTGGAAGCTCGTCTTATAGCTTACGATGAGGCACTTGGTAGAATTAGAGAAGTTATGGCTCGTGTAGGTCAAAAAAATCAAGCTATTCATACAGCCAATAATAATGCAAGACTTCTGTTAGATCAGTTAAATACAGTCATTGTAAGTGATACATAATAGTATTAATCTTTATTTTTTAAATTAAATATGTAAATATACAGTTTGAACATTTGATAATATAATATTATCATATTCGATAAATTACTTTACTTATATACAGTTTTAAATTTTGTTTTTACAAGTCGCAATTGGATATTTCACCTACTCATCAGCGTATTTTGAGCGAAGCTGAACTACCAGGTGAAAAAGAAGAACTTAGTCAAGCAGGTGCTGCTCTTTTAAAAGCCACAACAGCTCCATTACCACCAGGACTTGATAAATTAAGTGCAGTGACTGAACAAAAAAGACGTCTCGATAAACATAGGGCGAAATTTTCTATAATTGTGGCTAGACATTTGAATAATCTTTTTATTCATTTGGTATATATATTTTAACGAGTAATATTGATTAATTGAAAGTAACTATATTATTCTATGTTAAATATTTTATAGGGTAACGATGTCGGAGATATGTCAATGTCAACAACAGATTTAATTCTTCCAACTCATCAAGCAGTTCATTACGAACTTGAACCATATACTGAGTTAATGCAATTATTAAGAGCATTAGACAATAAAGCGTTTGTACAATTAACTAAAGTTTATACAGATACAATGAGTAAATTATATAAAAGAGATTTAAAGCGATTTTTTGAAGAAGCAAGAAATAAACTTATTTCTAAACGCCTCCAAGGTATATTAAAATATTAGTTTGTTTATAATAACGATGTGTATCGTTTTTTCATGAAGCTATTTTTTAAAGCGAATACATCAAAATCTAGCGGACAAAAGGCAGAAGATCTATTGAATCCAGCACCTATTTGTTTATTAAGCGGTGAAGTATGGGCACCTGTAGGAGATGGAAATCTTTTAGATTCAGTACTCGATTGTATGCTTTCACAAATGCAACCAGTTTGTCTTGCAGAGCAAGCCTTTTGTATTTCATTTCTACAACTGGATTCTGTTCTCTCCCCATCGAAAGTATGTAAAGCTTACTATTACAGATTAATTGCAATGTATAAGAACTAAGCATTCTTTTGAATGTATTAGAGCAGTGAATTGGATGAGACGGATAATGTTAGTAATGGTGCTGCAAGTCCTGGATCAGTTACCTCTACAGCAAGTAAAAAACTAGAAAGACAAGTAAATGAAGAAGTGCGTGCAACAATGGCAGCAATATTTCCATCACTGGAAACTGAGTTAAATAATTTTATTGCCTTCTTAGACAAAATTGATAGTTTGTAAGTTCGTTTGAATTTTTTATATTATTTTCATATTAATTTTATTTATTTGCTAACTTTTGATGGCATTCTTATAGTTGGTGCATGTATGTTTTGGTACGTTTGTCTCAACATGTTATGTCTGCGCAAGATACTGGTTCTTTTTTATCTATGACATTTGCTTCTGCTTTAATTCAAGTTAAAAGGTCTTTCGATAAATTTATGAAAACACAACTACAATCAATTTTATGTGACACGAAAGTCAATCGCAGAAATAAATGTGGTATATTGTCATACGTAGAAAACTTTGAACATTTTGCAAAAGCAGCAGAAAAAATTTTCAAAAATTCAGATAGAAAGGTTGATCTTGAAAAATGGTACACTAAATTAGTAAGTACAATGTTTGAAGCAATTGTCATCCATAGTAGAGAACATCATAAAACTCCGCAAGAAGTTATTAAGATGGGTAAGATTAAAATTTTTGTTTTGCTCGTTTTCTCTTGTTATATAATTATATATAAAATGGTTATTATGTTACAGAAAATTTTCATCATTTATACGATCTTCTGTCGCAATTAAAAATATCTGTGCTTGATCACGAGCGCAAAGAAGCTAAACAAAAATACCAAGATGCTTTGCGTGCATATGTCACACAATATTTTGGAAGACCTCTTGAAAAGCTTAATGTTTGTTTATTAAAAATCTCAAATTATTTGTAGTATTTTATTTAAAAATTATTGAAATGTTTATTCTGTTAACAGCTATTTTTTGAAGGTGTGCAAGCCAAAGTTGGTGCTGGAGTTAAAGAGTCTGAAGTTAGTTATCAGATGGCTTTCAGTAAACAAGAACTCAGACGTGTCGTGAAGGAATATCCAGCTCGAGAAGTTAAAAAGGGTTTAGAAAATTTGTATAGAAAAGTTGAGAAACATCTATGCGAAGAAGAAAATTTGTTACAAGTAAATAGAAAATTTGGTGTAGTATTATTATATACTATACATGTCTTCATTCTAGGTTGTTTGGCGTGAAATGCAAGGTGAATTCATTGCACAATACATATACATAGAGGAATTGATACAGCGATGTTATCCCGATAGTATGGTAACACTTGAATTTACTATACAGGATATATTAGAATTTTTCTCTGAGATAGCTCGATCTCATTGAGAAATTTAATAAATCAGAATTGTAAAGTGAATAAAATTTTATAATTCACATTAGTATTTAGATTAAAGTACTAGAACAATAAAGTAATATAATTTCCTATAAATAAACTGTAGATATTCAATTTCTGCAAATAATATAAATGTTTTATAGGAAATTCATTTTTGTATAAAACAAAGTACAAAAAAATTATTTAATATAACTCGACTTTACAATATTACTAAAGTACTATTAAAAGATAAATAAACATTGTTCTGTTTTCATTTGATTGAAGTATGAGAATATGTAAAAATTAATATTAAAAGTTGTATTTATTATACATGAAAGTATTGTATTATTCTTGGAAATAGAGTAATTACAAGTTGCTGTATTTGTTATGTTCTACAACATTTTGTACGTATATCTACTATATTCTATAAATATTATTTATACATATTATTCTTTTGGAGTTGGCGCAGAAAAGTTGAGCCAGAGTAAATCAGTGATTCTACCCTGAAAATTGAAATAAGATTATAAATTAATAATATTATTAAATTTAAGATAGTATTGATATTATATTATTACATACAAATGCAATAGTAGCAACAAGGAAAGTAACTCCAAAAGCTAATTGTGCATTGTACTTTCTTTGATTTTTATTGTATGCTTCCTTCCAACAACCTTGTGGCACGGGTAATTCATCGAAATGTGCTGGTTTTCTCAACTGTTCAGGAAGGGCAGATGTTCCTGATGATGATGGGCGAACACCTTAAATTACATTTTAATAACCGTTTATCTCTTTTTTGTATCATATAATTAAATAAAAAATTTTTTAAGTGAAGTTAAAAGTATTAACATAATCTATTAAATTCTATCATGATATAATAGATAATTTAATTTCTAATTCAAACTTGTAATCAAACAGAAACTGAATTTTAAATTTAACTGTAAATTATAATATTGTTGATGAAATTACGACGTAATATTAGAGACAGAATGTTCATAATAGATCAGGATTATAATTTACGATTAAAAAGAAGTAATATAAAAATTTCTAATCTTCAAGAGAATATACAAATTATTCCTCAAGGGTATTAATTGCCGAATATTTGCAAAGAATGATAAAAGTAAAAGAAACCAATATTATGTAAGGATATCAAAATGAAAAGGTATACTTAATATCCTAATAACGAAAAATTTAATATTTATTGTCGCACCTTTTCGTGTAATTTGAAGAACAGGCCTCGTAAGATGTCGAAACATGTTGTGTGCTTTTTTAACTTCAAATGGAATACGGATTTTAAAACCCAAAGCAGACGATAGATTTCACACGTTCAATAATATCTAACCGTAGCGTGTGCACCACTGTATATTACATAGAAGGGAAAATCAGTTGTCAAAGAAATTCCTAGAGATAGATAAGATAAATATAATATAAAAAATTTTCATTTCATTGAATCGAACATTCAATAATTCACGTAATAAATAAATATTAGACTTCAAATATTAGGGCAATTCAAATTTTTTATGGACCAATTTATACAAATTATGATGTTATTTGTTCTATATGTCCACCCTAGTGATAATTACCTCGTCTCAATTATAAACTTTTAATGCATATAACAGAATCTTATTAACTTTTACTTTATTAATGATGTTAATGCAAAATAGTATTAAGGCGAATATATTATTATAAAAAATATTCATAATCTACAAATAAATAATTCTACATAGATAGGGTTCTCACATAGCAGATTGTAATATACTTTAGATACTGTTTCTGTTATAGTAGCAGTCCAGTAACGTATATTGCAGATATTAGATTAAACAATCAATTACATAAATTAGATTAAAAATTTGTTCTCTATAATTTATACTCTTACAACTTTTTTCAATAATTACCTAAATTTGAAAGATAACCAAGATATTAAAGAGACATGTAACGACGTAGACTTAAATACCTATTCCGCGTTTTCACGAAAAGAGCCCTGAATGAATGCGAGTCTCATTGGTTTATCTATCATTTTTCCTCTTCTCATTTTCGATTATAATTTACTATTGGTCAATATGTTACACTTACCAATTGAAACTATAAACAAAATCCCCAGTGAGAAACCTCTTTTGTCCCTATTCCATCTCGGGCATACATACTTATTTACATAGGTACCTCTAGATTATTAAATGACAAAGAAAAAAGGGCGGAGAAAAGGATTTTTCTATTGGGCGAAAAGGATTGCGTTTTACTGGAAGCACTAAGGAGAATAGAAAATCTATTCTTTGTATATTATTTAATTACCATAAGCTTGGAAGGAAAATGTTTGGAATCTTGTTTAAAAAATAGAGCAAAGTAAAAGGGACAATACAGAATTATTTAGACTATAATAATTATAGTCTGTATATTAATGATAAACAAGAAGCATGCACGAAATTAAAAGAGACAAGTAGAATTGATAAATTAGTCAGGACAATATACAAATCTGATAACAAAGAAATGTGTTTAGGTGAAGCTCTTAATTTATTAGAATCAAACTGGTTGCTACTTATCTTGATAAAAGTTTGTGTGGAGTGAGAAATGAAATAAAAAGCAAAGAAGAACATAACAAATATTTCGAAAATCTTATTAAACAGTTGATAAAGTTGTCACGAAATTATCATTCAGATAAGGGGAAAGTAAGAGATGATAAAATGCAAAAGATAATTAATCAGTGTGTACAAGCACTGAGGGAAATACATTTATACATTATGAGTGATGAGACATTTATTCTACAAAAAGACTGTTTTTTCCCATATAGCATATATAATCGTGTACCATTAAGCATAATATATAACAGTGAAGATATACAACAAATAATGAAGGTATCTTCGGTAGATGAAATGTCTATAATGTTTGAGTTAATGTTTTTAGCTGATTTGGAAGAAGGATATTTGATGAACGCAAAAAATATTTACTTAGAAGATGCAAAGATATCTGTGGAAGAGTTGTTTCAAAAATTGTTATCTATAAAGGACAAACCACATGAGGAAATTAAGGTTTTGAGGAAGGATATAGATTCGACATGGGAGAACTTTAATAATGTTTATAATAAATATGTAGAGGAGTATTATAGGTATTGGATAAGTCACTTAGAGTGTTTAAATGATTATTGTAAAAGATTTGAGTTGTTGAAGGTAATAAATCCATCAGTAGAAAAATTGTTAGAAGAGAGCAATGAACAATATAAAATGCTAAAAGAAAAATGTTATGGTGTGAATCCAGATGATGATTTTGTACTACCTATATTATATTATTTTATTTTAATAGAAGCATATTTTCAGTTTGTAAAGAAATTACTTCAAAACAAAAAGAATTACAAGACAGGTACACATAATTCAAATGCCTCAGAGAAGAAAAGCTTAACATTGGAAGAAAGTAAAGATAGTAAAGAGTTATCTTGTAAAGATAAGATAGAAGAGAATAAGTTATCTGACAAAGAACTATTATTCCTTACAAAAGATAAAGTAAATGCGTATGTTTCTAAGGCAAATGAAGCAGCAAGTAAGGAAGAGACAGAGAATACAATAGTGTTCGTGTTGGAACACTTAAAGAAATTATTGAGCAATAATTTTCCAGTAAAGAAAACAGCTTTTGAAAGGCACAGCAAGAATTTGAGTGGGAAAAGCAAAGAGGAAATCTGATTGAGGAAGTAAGCAGTATTTTTGCAAACAAGGTATATCGTTCAAAAATGGATAGAGAATTAAAAGGTATAATGTTTGAAAAACAAAAAAAGATTATAAGAGAAGTCATAGAATACACTATGAAGCATTACTCACCTTCATTGGTAAGTAATGTACCAATACCTGATTTTATGTTTGTCAATGTGGCGATGGGACAAGGTAATTGCTTTTTTGATGCAGTTACGAGTAGTATTAAACAAATCAGGCCCAACCATCACTTTAATGTGAAATCACTCAGAGGTGTGTGTAAGAGTTTTGCTCAAAAGGAATTAAAGAAAGATAAATCTTGGCTTATAAAGGCTTTAAATAAAGAGGGAGAAGAAATAGAACAATACATTCCAAGAATTGAATTTGATGCAAATGATATTACGCATAAACAAGAAGAATTAGAGATATTGGGGTTAACTACATCAATAGGGGGAAGACCTGATATTGAAGGTAAGATAATCTGTGAAGAATATAACATAAGGTTACATGTTATTGAATACCAACAACTCATTAATGAGTGGATACATCAAGTTGTCGACGGTTCATACTCTAAATCTATAGATGGGAATTGTATGAATTATAATGAAGACGACATGATATATATAGTAAACGATGGCAGTCTACATTTTGAACCAATACTCGATAAAAGAAAAAGTTCAAATCCAGAACAAGTAGACAGTCGTCAACTTGATGAAATAATAGAAGAGATTGTAAAGGAATTTTTGAATCAAGGTATTTCACTTAATGATGCAAATATAAGGCAGGGTGCAAATGTGGAGATGGAGATAAAATCATAAAACAAAGGTTAAGTTTGCCTGAGTGGAAAAAAAATGTTGTTGAATTTTTACTTAATAATTTATATACAATAAAGGCTTATGTACAAACTATATAAGAGTTAGAGTTTTTTTCACGTCTATAGTTGCTTGTTTGGTTGGGTTTATTTCATTTGTGCCAAGTAGTTACTGCGTCTTAAAATACGTGTCTGAATACATGTTTTCACATAATTATTGTTATCATGTATTGGTATAAAAACATAGTTCATGTATACATTTTATATAAAAATTGACAGTTTAGAATTTAGAAAAAAAATTATGAAGCAAATATACATTTTGAACATTTGAACATATGACTTTCCGTTTTAATTTGTTACATGATTATATTTCTGATCATACAATTTAAGGAAAAGATTTTTCTACATTAAGATGTACTTGCTTGGTTATAAGTATCTAAGTAGGATTATCGATTGAAAAAATATTAAATATTTATCCGAGAACTATTTTCTATAGAAATTTTACTGTGAAAAAATAAATCCATATGAAATAAATGATTATTACCTCGTTATTACAGTGGGAATATGTTTTTGTACAATTTATAATAACGATTTTCAATAAATTTATTTATTTATACAGGATAAGTTATTTAAAATACATAAATAGCACAGAACTTAATGATTTGCTAACTTGAATAATTCTTTGGTGAATTTTGCTATCTCATTGTTAAGATATATTGTGAAACATGAATTTTTCATATTAACGTCTAAGAAAATGTTTAACATTCGAAAACGTCGTAAAATATAAACTAATTGTTTTACTATGAGTTTTGTAACCATAATTTATATTATTATTAATGAAAAATATTAACATCGAATGAGATAGTGGTTACATGAATGTTACCTCTAATTACGTGAAACAATTTGAAGTTAACTGTCTACTTTTACTGAAAAATATTTTGTAAAACATGAATTATACAAATTTATACTAATAAAGGTGATCAAACTCAATTATCTTTTGTTTCTTTCTGTAAGACAATGGATATAAAAATAAATGATAAAAATACATACTACCAAGTATATTCTAAAATACACAATATTTATAATATTTTTAACTTATTTATAACTTATGCAACAAAGAAAGATATTGTTTTAAATTCGACAGTTTATATTTTTTTTCTTATTACAGTTAATTTGTTTTTGGACGTGTATTATAATGCCAATTTCGCCATTCAGTTTTTATACATTTACATTGCATCGTAATTATATTTTTAGCTAATATAATTTAGGAAATAATACAATTTGATTTTTCTTGTACATTTCCATCAGCTTTTTCAATTTCGATTAATAATGTATGAAAAATATCAGCGACAGACTGTAAAAAAAAGAAAGATAAACGACATTAAATTTTCAAAGAAGTATCGTAAATAATTAAGTAAACTTACCTCATTTTGTTTTGCACTGGTTTCTAGAAAAGCTGCATGCCAGGAGTCTGCCAATCTTTTGCCTTGTTCTGTCGAGATCATTCGATCTCCATATAAATCCGTTTTATTTCCTACTAATACAATTGGAACACTGAAAAACATAAAGCGAAAAGTATTATATATGTTACACTATAACAAAATTAAAATATATACATAAGAAGAAAACATCATACTGGACTTTCCCTGTTATATCCAATAGCTTGTCATAAATAATTTGTACAACTTCAAAACTCTTTGCACTGGTGATACTATATACGAGGACATATCCATGGATGTCCATCGAATACTGTGTAGGAAATATACTATACTCATCTTGACCTGCTGTATCTACCAATTTAACTTCATAATCTTGACTATTTACTCTGGTACTTTTAGTAAATGCTAAAAACATAAACATTAACTCCGTCAGAAAACAAGTTATACTGAAATCAGTAGAACCTACATCTTCTATTGTAATATAAAAATTTTTATCTTGAAGATATTTTGACTTCATAAGATTTTTTTTATTTTTAAATTTATAGCTTCAAAGCTTAAATTAAAAAAAAAATTATTAAATTTAACAATAAGATGTTAGGTGCTACCGTGTTAAATACATTCAGTTATGCTAAATAGAAATCATAAAGAAGATATTGGAGTTTTATATGAAACACTTAATAATTGAAATTACACATGCAAATTATTAACAATACATACATGCTGTAATGAAATTTGTGTCATTTGTTAATGGTATTTTTATATGTACCTATAACAGTTTAAATTACTTGAAATATATCATTTAGACAGCATAAACAATTTTAAATCAACAATTTAAGTTTGTACCAGTAGAAGACATCCATTTACGGTAATATTAGATACATTATCAAATTCTAAGTATACTACAACATAATAAATTTGAATTAACACAATAATTTTATTGAAAAAAAGCTTTCCAATGTTGCTTATTTGAGTAACAAAAACAAAGTATATTTATTTTCATATGTAAATAATATCATCAAAAAATCATATAATAAATAACATCTATAACTACATAAAGATTATTCAGTGGGAAAATACATAGCAAGTATAAGTAAAAAAATTCGTTTATAAAGATCAAAGTACTCAATTATATTTTATAATAAGCTTCTTTTCTATTTTTAATATTAACTGAAATAGAGAAGAGTGTAGAAAATAATAAAGCTTGAATCTACTTCTTATTCAATGTTTTTTTTACTTACATCTGTATTTTAGAAATCAACTATTCTTACTAGAAATATTGTAAGTTACATCCATATTAAATAAAGTTTCTTTCAAACCAAACAAAAATTTAACGTTTTTTATGTGTATATCCTACATTAGTTTTGGCTTAAAAAGTTGATAACTAATAGTATTTATATTTTTTATTTATAATAACTATATAATAATCCTATAAATGCCTGTCCATTATATCACAAATTTTTGCAAATCTATTGCTTGTTTATAGCATGAATTATGAACAGAATGTGCAGAAAATACTACTAACAGTGTCATTAGAAATCTTTGAAGTAGCGAGTAAGATGATACAGGTACTTCTTACTATTTTCTATAGTAGGGTCATATGAATCCACGAACTGTCCCTCGACGAACTGTATGCTCAGCGACGACTTGCCTATTCAAATAGACCAATAAAAAAAATTAATAAATATAAAATATATTACATAGAAAATTATATGAATGTTACATTAATGATAAACATGAAAATTATTTTTTGAAACAAGGAACGATTATATTAAATGCAATGATTTGAAACTATATTAATAATAATTGTGATTTATTAAAACATGTTTCATAAACATAGTAAAAATCTAATTTAAAATGCTTAATATATTCCATAATAAATGAGTCATCATTATGAAAAGAAGAATTAATTAGATCAACTAGATCAAAAGAGTAATTAAAAAATAAAAGTGTTTAATTGGGCAAGTCTATTTTCCAATTTAAAGTAGAAATAAGATGTATAAAAACGATACAAAGAATACCATTTATTAATATTTTTAGAATCCTTTGGAAATTTCAATTTTAAATCACATAAAACATGTTAAATAATACTTAAATATGTTTTGTATATAAAATTTATTGATTAATCTTAAAAAGTTTTAAATCTTGATTAGAACATGCAAATTTCATTACCTACGGATCTGTAACCCATAATGGCTATTTTTCTCTGCTTTGGAGGCATCTTTTAGCATTTATGATTAACGAGACTGCAACAATATTCCATAAAGGCTGGTGCATACTCCAATTAAAATCTGAAATGGAATTAAAGAAATATTTTATTAGGCAATTATTTCTCGCCAGCTAATAATTCTAAATTTATTATTTTATTATATTTTAAATTTAAATGGTTAATACAAGCTGTGTTTAATTGTAATATTCTAAATTTTGTTACATATAAATAAGAATGCATCAAAGCATTTCAAAAAATATTAGAAACTGTATTAAATAAAAGGAATATGTAGACCTTAATACTATTCGTCATTGAGATAACCTAATTAAAAATACATCACATTTATTTTGTTCATTTCCTTGATCATTAAGAAGTAAGATTACATCATAACTGTTTTGCACAAGTAAATAACTGACATTTTTAACTATATAAGGTTATCATTTGTGTATTTGTAACTGTTCATTTCACGTAAGTTGTATAACATTGAAAATTATAATGCTAGGAAACGAAGTACAAAAATGTATTTAAAGCATAATACAGTGATTTTATAGCATTTCGAAAGCAATAAGTTCTATATACAATCACAACAATTTAAGTTGCAACAAAAAGATCCTTATAAATGCGGTTTAGATAGTTAGACGTAATTGTAAGCGTACGTATTATGCGTCGAGATGTAATTCATATCTATGAATTATGAAACATATGATTATTTACTTGTGTTTAAAAATGAGTACGATGCTTTTTATATTTTCTAACAAAACAATGGCACTTGTCACAACAAACCACAATGTCCATCGAACTATGCATTGTTGTTGCACTTGCACATGCACATTCACATGTACCTGCCTGCACATGCACAACTTAGTACCTACTTACCGAAAGAAACGAAGTGCATTAGGTGCGTTTCATATTAATCGACATATCGACTTTTGTTGTGTCGGTTATTTAGTCAATTAAAAGTTGATATTTAAATGATAATTCACGATTAAATTCTATTTTTATCAATGAGAAATATTACTGTTTTCATCTGACGCAGCAATCAAGGAATAAGATTCTATAAAAGAACGAAGTACTCTGAATTGTGAGAGGAAGTTTGAAAGCACCCGATAAATTACGCACTTTAAATGACATGAATAAAAAAGGTTCACTGATTTATTAACATTAATTAGTAGTGCGTGTCACGAGGCGGCTCGTTAATCTTACATATATTTCACAGAAAATATCACCATAACGTTCTCTCATTTACACGATTTTACTTACTGAAAAGTGCACAATAATGTAAGATTTTCACGAGTACTTGCCAGCGAATCTACTGATCAGATGCGCCATCTGTTTGAATAATTTAAAAGTGAAGAAATTTGAATACAACTGTATTTTATTTTTCCCTTCTTTTTATTTTACTTTCGTGTTTCATTTAATTATGTAACAATAATAATTTTTAACAATAAGAATAATTTCAACCTTGAAATTATTTTGAAGTAGACACGTCGTGAAGATTTGGATTTAACGGAAATAAGTACTATAAATATTAATCATATACTTATGTGTTTATGGATTCTATAAAATGAATAACTATGTAGCACTGTTACAATAGAATAAGTGGTACCTGTATAAGCAAAAATATAGTCATTTTTCTTAAAAATTACAATTCCACAATTCATTTTTAAATTATAAAATAATTTATCATTTTACTGTGTTAGAACACGAAACTTGTAAAATATAATGAATTGATAAAAATCTTCTTTCCACTTAAATGATGTGTATTAAATTATAGATGATACATAATATATATAAATGTTTAGACGAACAGTAATTCTTATTAAGCAAATCCATCAATAGAAAATAATAGTGGTAAGATCGTATATTAATAAAAATTACAAACAAATTGTTATTGTATTATGAATCATTTTGTAAAACTTTTATTAAAAAATACTGTCTACTTAAGTATTACTAAATAAATAAGTAATAACATATAGTCCTCCTTTGAAAAACATTAATGTTTAAAATATATTATTGCATATCTATGTAATATTACATTTATAACATAGGGTATATTTTTAAAATTGATTAATAGTACGTTTTGTGATTAGCTTTTACCAATACGTTGCACTTTCCATTTTCCTAATAATAACGCTGATAATTACAAATAACCACGCATGCGAAGTTGCAATTTCTTTGTTTTATTTACTGTTTCAAGTAAACCATGTTTATTTTGAATGATAAAGAAGAAAGGTGTCTAGCGCGTTGCATTTATCAGTGATGTCAACATCTTGTACATTTTTTAACTAGCATTTCTTAATTTGTTCTTTAATTTCTATTCTATTCATATAATAATAATAGTAATATTTATGCACATTTTGTGAAGGTATATTTACAATTAGAAATGAAAGTGCGGAAGGTGTTAATCTATAATTATATTGTAATATATAATAAGTAACCGTAATGTTAATTTTAATAGTTTATACAATACAAAAGTTAACCAGAAATTCAATTTTCTTCCTGTACCATATTCCTAGCTGAATTTTGCTCTCCATTTTGTTCATATAAATAATATTGAACTATTCAATTTAAACACAACTATTAATATCAATTTATACTGTAAACAATTTGAAAGATAAACTATTTCTTATGAATTGAAATGGTATTTTATATTTTTATGAAATGAAAACCTTTTCCTCGTCTATCGTATTTTTCGCTTTTCACTGCAACGTAAATTCATCTTTTGTCATTCAATATAAATCACTTTAGCTATAGAAACATTTCAATAATTTATTAATCGCTTTTTTTGTAATGACAAATTTGCGGATTTTTGTGCGGCAAACATAATGTGTCTATCTTTTGAATTAGGTATACTGTCATATGTAATGATGGAAAATACATAAAAAAATTCTAATAAAGTGTAAACTGTATAATGACTATTAATTTCAAGGATTTATAGAAGGAATATTTAAATAAACAGAATTTCACCTTAACTTTTTATAGACTATTTTAAAAACACATTTTAAGTAGATTAATTACGAAAACTCATACAATAAGTTTTTTATTAACTTCTAAAAACAAAAATATTTCTTATTCTCAATTATAAATTACAATTGTAAAGTAATAACACAGATTTATGATATAGCAATTAAATTTGCCAAGATTCGTCTTAATTGCTCTTCAAATAACAATTAAGACCTCTTGCCCTTAAGCAGGCTTCCATGGGAAGAAATATTAAGAGTGTCTTGAATTCAAAAATAAAATTTATTTATTCTATAAAATTAAGTGATGAAATTATTTGACATGCAACATTTAAATTGAGAATAAAATTCTTCTCCAATATCTTTATTTAATAATTATTTTGTATAATAGACTGTATCATATTTTAATGTCATAAAAACTCTTAACATTTCATTTAAGAATTCGTCTGTTCAGTATAACATAAATGCACGTAAAAAAGTTTGAATTTGTGCAAATATTTTCAGTCTCCATCTGAAATCTGGATTCTAATAATGCCCTTACTTATTAAGTCAAAAGTAGAGCACTGGCGAAGAACGCGCGTGTAGCGTGCAACAAGTAAAACATATTGAACGAAGAATCAAAAGTGGAACCGGTTTAGCAATAAGCTGGTAATACACGACCACTGTTTCTTTAGATTGTGAAGCTTTCTCTGGAACTGCAGATGGCGAAGTTTTTTCTGGAAGAATAGTGAGAAAGTCCCGAAGATAAGACACAAATCCTAACTGCAAACCTTAATTTCGTAAAAATTTTCTTTCTGATCAGTGCTATAAAATTGCTTATACGAAAGATTATCTTAACGACTGACTTCTACACGAGTACAGGACCAAATATGTACTCTTAGATCGTTGTTGATTCAAATACATTGGTATACTATTTTCATGACCGATATGTTTCGTATTAAATTCGTTTTATCTTTTTTTTATAAATTGTGATCATTAATTAATTAATCAGTTATTGAAAAATTCATTTTGATTTTTGTAAATTGCAGTGAATAATTAATTAATAAATGATAAAGTGGAGACAGTAAATGTTCTCTTTACATTCATTAATCATTGAAATATAAAGAAAGTGATATTTCGTGTTTTTATGTATACAATAATAATCATGTTACAGTTTTATTATCCAAAAGAGGATACGAAAATTCTGTGGAGAAAAAGAAATATATCTAAACGATTCTAAAAAAAAATTTCGCGTAAAAGAGTAAGATGATCATGTAAATGTATACGTGTAATATAACGGCTTTTATGTGGTGTAAGATCTCATCACTTTGTTGTGTTCATTAAGACTAGATTTATGGACATTTATTCTACAACTCCTAGAAGATTATGTACATGTTTGTTCATATAGGTCGCGGAAATTAAAGTTTCAAGAACACAGAATTATAATGTGTATTCGCATAATCCCACCAATCAAAATCGACTTCAATTGTCACGAAATAATGTTAAAAAAATTCAATATCCATCAAATTGACGAGTTTTAAAATGGCTTTCGTAAATCTAGCGTTAATATCGATTTCATTCGTCGAAAGTTTTACTAATGATACGTACAATCAGAAGACACTTGCGTTTTTTAAAGTGTTTTATGGGCTAACATTCGCCAAGAATTGTATACCAAACTCATTATATTACACATAATAAAGCTGTTGTCCGTTAAGTTGTAACTGCAACGTAAAATATGTTCATTCATTAGGATACTGAGTGATCTGAAAGCCAATCGCTGACTTAAATAATTTATGACTTTTTCACAGATAACATATGCTTCAAAGTCTTCTTATAGATTATTTTAGATTCTTGGAACATTCTAAGAGATATTTTCTTTGTGTTTATTAATTAACATATAAAAATTAGTTTTTAAAAAAATCGAAATATAATTATAATTCACAGAGTAGTTTGTATTTGTAATAATTCAATAACAATTAACACGATGGTTACCTTTGCTGAGTATTTGAATTTTCTGAACTTTTAGTGCAATCTGCAAAAAGTTTTTTAATTATTTTAAATACTAACATATTGTTTTTCAAAGGAATTTGATTACGTTTGAAACAATATTCGACTGTTAAGTCACTTTATAGTCATTTTGTTATAGTTCTTATTCTCCTATTATTTACGAACATTTTTACTTCTTTTACTGTATAAGAAAAAAGTAACAAGAAATTATTGCAGTTGTACATGTTAAAAGTCATTCAACTTTTAAACTTTAACATTTATATTTTTGTGTATTTATTTTCCGAGAATATACTAAACGTGTATAATTTTTGAGATTGCTGACAGAGTGTCAGGAGCCACGTCATTTTTCCTTTGATCCTATTTGTGTGCATACTTGCATTCTGATTTTATCCTTATTTTATTCTTAAAGATCATTGCCACTATAGCGAAAGTATACAGCTAAGAGGCAAGTTTATCTCAGGAATGAATTCATGACGGTTATTTAGTGCCATTACGTATAATATTGAATGTAATTCTAACAAATCAGATTTTTATTTCTTTTACAACTTTTGTTGTAAAAACTAGTACGTAACATGCAAGAAAATATTAATGAAAGAATCTGTGTCATAAACTTCCAAAAAAATTATTTTTGACAAAACATGTAGCTTTAGAATGGAAATATCTTTAAAAATATACAAATATATTTCATTACAAAAAATACTTGTGTAAATTAATTGTAGCGATACAATTATATTATTGAAATTTACATTTGCAATGCATCATTTGTAATAAATATCAGACGTATATAGTATTATTACTATTATCCCACATACCAACAATGAATTCGCCATATCTTACTTATTGTTATTCTTATTTTGCGAAAACTCCAAACTTATATTATTAATAAATATATGAATTATTCTAATAAAATAGTGTTTACTACGTTCGATGTATTAAATTTCCTAGATATTATAATAGATATTATAGATTTATTACATTTTTTAGATATTACTTATATAATTATTAGATTTTTTCGCCTTATATCTGGTACCAATGCTAATGCAGTTTTCAAACTTCTTTTTTATGTTTGACATTTGACACTTTAAATATTATTTTAAAAAGCAAAAGATCGATTTACTGTCTATTAACTCAGTATTTTTTCATTGCGACAGTTCAAGAATAATTTAAACAAATATTTTTCACTCTATTTTGAAAGTGGCGGAAACTAATTAGAGATACACGTGTACGCGATTAGATTTTGTATGAAATGTCTAGAAATCTATCATGAGGCGAAGAGAATAAGAGTAATATAGAATCTTCGGGCGTGCAGGAAAAGAGAGTTGGCCGGTAGATATAAGGGGATCCTGTTTTATCGGAATTCTCAGTTTGATACGCGAATCGTGCAGCCGACAATCATTCTTACGTTCCAACAAACCAGAGCGTCATTATGAAAACGGAATTATTGTTGCAAGTATATCGTTATTATATTGGGTCGATGCAAAAGTTTTAGCGTTTTTTTATGAAAAATAAAAAGAAAAGTTCTTAATTGTTCGCTGACTAAATCAAAACTAATTGTACGTAAAAACGTAGGAAAAAGTGCCCTTTATAAGTACACGTTATAATAGTTTGTTATTTGTTTTCGTGAAAAAAATTATTTTGTTAATTACGCGTGCAAAAAACGTTAAAATTGTTATGTTGATCCAGTACATCAAAAGATAGGTGTTTTTACCGATCATTCGTAAACCCCGAATTAAACGGTGGTTCTTATTAATTTTTGGATATTTAAAATATCCTTTTTTTTCATTTAAAAATTGAGTACTTGTTTTCGGTGACCTGAAAGGAAGTTTTATATTGATTTAAGGATAAATGGCGTAGCATTTGCCACGAAATAGTAAATATTTCATAAATAATAATTAATATTAGAACAATTAAATGATTAAAGTAGTATTTTGTAAATTTTATATAAAATTTATTGTAATACATTTATTGAATCTATAAATTAATTTATTTTACAAACCCCTATCAAAATCTGTTACTGATTTTAGTAACTGCAAGTATGAAATTTTGAAATTAGATATTTTCACAAGTTTGGTCATTTTAGTGTTAAAAAGTACTATGTAGTAAAAGATTTTTAAGTTTCGTATTAACTGTTCAAATTAACGATAATAAATAACTGTGATAGATAAAAATTATTTCCGACTTGTTTTGGTTGCAAAAAAATATTCTTTTCAATTACTTTATGTGACTGATGTTATTCTCCATTTTTTAATTATTCATTCAAAATTCAGATTAATTTTTCAATGTTGATCTTGAGAAAACAGTCGTTAGTATTTTGTATTTTATACAGTAACGCTTAGTAATACTAATCGTAGCATATACTAAATAGAAACATACGTAAGAATAAAGTTTTACTTGAATTTAAAGTTATTTTTAAGTGACTCTAATAATCAGTTATCTATAATAAGAATTGCAATATTTAGAACTTTTTCAGAATTTAGAAAATTGCACTGCTATCACCAATCAGCGTTAATTAGAGTACAGTTAAACGATGTCTCACTACATAGACATAATGTATTTTTTCTTTTTAAAAGTGTAATAACGATACCAATTTGTTAGAATTATATTTATGAAATTTAAAAAAATATCCAACTGGTTGTTTAGAATTAAGTAGTACATACCATTTTTTGTCATTTCTAGTTCACCTTACTTTTAACAATATTGTTGGTTACGTCGACCGAGGGATTCTTCTTTGAGTAGTAAGAGACATTTTTGTTTCATTTTCTTAAAATGATAGTTAATAAGATAGTTAATTGTTATTAAAGCGGAGGAAAAACTTATTCTCAAATTTGCTAACATTTACCACAAATATTCTTTGTTAATCATTTGTTTAATTAGAAACGTAAAACAATTAGTTTTTAAATTTTAACATGAAAATACCTGTATTAATCTTTTGTACTCCATCAAAAAATTTTATTTATTATAAATAATATAAATTGAATTAACGAATAAAATTATACGAATTTAAAAAACGCTTTTATTTTTATAAAGCATACGTATAACAAATAATAAACGTACATATAAAAACATTTGTGGAGCACAATGGATTGATGCAAGTGCAATGTTTATCAATATGTACTTTAAATCAAAAATTTATATTTTAGTCCTAAGAAAGTAGTATCAAACATCCTCCAATCTATAAAGAGCAAAGTAGAGGCGAAAAGAAAGCCGCATGCAATACAACATTACCACTTACATTACTATCCCGTAGTGCATCCGTTATCTGGATCACTAACGAAAGCGCCCAAGAAACACGAACTCGAGGAAATTCATCGGTACGTTCATATGTGATGGCAAACAATTTAAATATCTATTTTATTGAAATAAGTATCTACGAAAATATATATTAGAATCCAATAATCGTATTTAATAATAAGTATGCAATTCTAAAATAGTAATTTCATCAGTGTTTACTATAGTGTGTTAATAGTTATAGTGTGAATTGTGTTATTTCCTTTATTTAAAGGAAAATTCAATTATTAACAGACTGTAAATGTTTAAGCAAACTTGACATTTCGTAAATGAATATACGATTGCACAAATCAGATTAAAACTTATTTCTCTTATTATGGATTTCATTTAGTTAAGAATGATACTGACGGTTCACTAATATTTATTATAATGTTTATTTTTAGTATGGTTATGTGTATTTTTAGTATTGTAAATAAACAATTATTTATTTTATTCGCTTTTAGATTACATTATTTAAAACAAATAATAATTGCATGCTTTGTTAATGATTAATAAACAAAATACGTTTAGTGAACGTCTGAATTCACTCGGATGGTCGGATAATCAATACAAGTACGTTCCCGTGCCTGAAGTAAAAATTCCACTATCATTATTCAACACATGGGATGACAATGAAATAATTTTAGGTAAGTAAAATCTTATCATTATCAAATATTTAAAGAAATATTTGTCTCAATGTATTCTCCAGAAACTTTATTTATCAAAACTGGCTGGTAGCTTTTAACGTGTAATTTATTATATTTTTTAATAACACAAAGTGATTAATAAAGAACTTAAAGTATTTTAACACTGGAACTACCGCATTCGTCAAAATGGCGGGTTTCAGTGTTCTTATTTCGTAATTATTGTTATCTTAAAAATGTTAAATATCCAAAATGATTTAAAAAATAAGTAGTTTGACCTGAATACTGTAATGAATATAGGAAGAAATCCAAAGAATCTATTGCTACAAGTTTTATAAGCTTTACATATTAATCGTATTAAACGCTCGGTAGTTCTAGTGTTAAAGAATTTTTCATTGGAAGTTGTTCTTTCGGTTTAAGACGATTATTAAATTATCTAAATGTTCAATGATTTTCCAGAAACAGATCTTTCAGAAACGATCAATCATGTCGAAGATGAGGGAGTACTCGTTCAAGTTCCATATAATCAAAAAATCATCATTGAGAATGATCATTCCTCTGATCTTAAAAAGTTAAAACATAGCTTAGTGAGTAGTCTTCTGAATAAAATCTTGAAATCCAAACATCATGTACATCCATAAAAACCAATCACAAATACACTGAAGAATGAGTTTTAGTAATATTAATAATCAGTATCATGTTTCGTATACCTCAATCTTATTAAAGATTCATTCCGAAATTAAAGATCATTAATTAACAGAAATTATGTTACTAATATCAGACACAAATGTTCAATTTAAAAGGTTAACATGATAGCTGTAGAAATTTTTTTTATACGTGGATGAAATGAAAAATATAATTATATGTATATTGAAAAAAAGAAATAAGTATAATTATGTGTTATTGATAAACAATAAAATTACAAAAATTGTATAAGTAGTAAAGTGTTACTACTAACTACTACAAAGTATTAAACTATTTATGATTTTCTAAAAAGAAATGATAAGATTTATCAATATCAAGTGATTACTATACAGAGTGTTCAACAAATGTAATATTTGTAATATTACAATAATTTGCACAATGTAATATTTATATAGTAAATAGGACACTATCCTGAATAAAAAAATTTTAGTATACATAAATCGAAATTCTAATTGTTTTTCATATCTTAGTATACAATTTTTTGATTAATTGATATTCAGATGTTTCCAAAACACTGCAAACCTTTTATTTTCCCATAAATCATTAAATACCCAGGTAAGAGGATTTAAAAATTGTATGAAGTACATAAATTTATTTTCATTTTTATTAAATTTGTAAATTTGTATTAAATTTTTTGAATTTAATTTATTAAATTCATTTACAGTGTTTTGAAAACATATTAACGTATAAAAACGTTTATATCTCAGAAACAGCTGAAATTACGACCTATATTCATTAAAGTTTGTTTACTCGGTATAGTGCATCTTATAAGCACATAAATATTGCAGTACTTTGTTCCAACACCCTATGTAGAAAATATTATTTTCAAAATTTATCCAAACCGTACTCATGAATTATAATTCTAACATTCTATAATAGTTTTAATGGAGCACAAACAAATTTATACTTTTATATTATTGTAGTGTGTTGTTGTTTCTGCTATAATTATATTTGTTCATTACATTGTCAACAATGAACACTTAATTTCTACATTGTTTTCTTTACACTTGTTAACAGAGTTTTATGTCATTAATGTTAATGTATTTGCTTTAGTATAGTATTAGAAAAGCATAAAATATGTTATTGATAGTGTCAATATTGTTAAATATAACAAATGT